GTGTGTGTGTGTGTGTGTGTGTGTGTGTGTCAGTGTTTTACTCCCAGCAGCAGTATTTATCTCTTCTTTCATTTAGACCCTATTGTACCGCAGTTCTTCATTCTCTCAGTCTTTGTAAAGGGATTTTGTACTTTAATCTCAGAAGTGTTAGAGATTTACTAACCTCAAATCTCATTTTATTCAAGTTTCACTGGATGATATTTCAGCCTCTATATATAATATTCATAATAATATTGAATGAATAAATGTATTGCATTATACATCTCTCTTCTGTTTGTGTCGTTTCTGAAGCGTTGATCAACATCTGACTGTATGAGATGCTGTATCCCACAATGCACTACACTTGACCTTGCGTTTCCAGTGTGACGAATTAACCAAAGTTTTGATCAGACTGACATTTTTACACAAATTTTACTTAAAAATGAAGAATAACTTTATTTGATGATGAACTGGATGCTACATGCTTATTTCAACATCAAACTGATGCCATGATGAAACTTTTATTATTATGCACGTTCTCAGAACATTCTGGCAAGTTTCTTTTAAAGTTATGAACAAGCATAGAGTAACAGAACGTTTGTTCAAAGTTCTTTAGTCTTTAATAAAGTTCTCAAAAGGTTAGCACAAAAAAATGTTAATATACATCATTCATGGAACGTTTTTTGAAACATTTTACTTTAATGTTTATCTAACATTTTTAAATGGTTTTGGAGAACATTCAAAAGTAACATTCCCACAATGTTTGCAAAAAAAAATTATAGGGAAAAAAATGGAATGTTCCCTTAATGTCTGCATTACCAGGAAAAAAAATGTTTTTGAAACATAAAAAAAAATTGGCATGTTCAGAAATAACATTTTTGTAACATAACGGCAATGTTAGCAAAATGTTCTAAGAACATAAGCTGGAAGTTAAAAAGTATCACATTAGTTAATGTTTGAATGTTCTGAGATTACATTTTCATAGGAACTTAATGATAATGTTAGCAAAACATTCTTAGAACATATCTGTTTCACATAATGTGTGCGAGAGAGTGCAGTGCACAGTATAAATTCACAGTATATGTGTGTGTGTGTGTGTGTGTGTGTGTGTGTGTGTGTGTTGCTCTGGGTTATTTTGAGATACTGGGAGAAACACAAAGGATTCCAGAGAACAGTGAAGCTGAAAGAGAGAAAATCAGAAGCGTGCGGTGAGTAACAGTGTGTGCTGAAGCTCAGAGCCTGTTTATTTTAGTCATTGTCATATTTCCAGTGTGGAGAGAGAGCC